TTCATTCTCCGCCACAGATGAAAAATTCACCTCAACCCAGGTTCGAACACCCGACCTCCGGATTTATAACCCAATGATGGTTGTCTCTGACTTTTCTGCAGAGTGGAGGGTTATACACTGAAGACCTCCCATGGCATGGAAGGTTCTGTTGCCATCAAGGGTATCCATACTGGCATCTTAAATCTCGGCAATTTTTCATTTTAGCTAATTTGGGAAAAATTGTCGACCTTCAGATATGGTCTTCAAAGTAATCGAAAAGTTTGACCCACAAGTACCCATTCCCAGTAATTTCTTCATTTGCACTTTAGTCACGATTTGTGAAGACGCTTTTGGATGTTTTATGACAACACACCCCTGTGTTGGGGTACCGAAAATAGTTGATACCAGATCCAAGTCCTCAAGCAACCACAAACTACAACAAGCGTACGCACCACCAACCCATATCTTTAAACCACCAGAGAAATAATCGCACGTGGTGGTTTTATTTATTTGACAGCCGCAACAAATAATCCAACGGTGTCTACGCAACCGGCCCACCCGATCCTGAGCAGCTGATGAAAAGATTGCTTACATTGTAATACCATATTTGTATAATTCGTAATTGCTTCATTTTGACCTCTGGCCAGCCGGCTTGAACTCCTGAAGGCAATACCGCAGCACCCCTGACAGTATTACCGCAAGAATTAAAAAGTAAAAAGTGAAATATAAACCCCCAATGAATCCCAAATTAATTCCCCTAATTCAATAGTGATAAATTATCTATCCATTCACAGCAAGTCCCAACATGTAAAATGGCGACGAATAGAAATCACATTGACACTGGAGGTACAAGTAACAAAAAAACTCTTACTCTTACTGATGAAAACGTTGACGTAGAAAGAAACCTCTATTCCAAACGCTTCAACCATTATCCCTAATACAAAACGAACAGAAAAATACAACCCGAGCTACGTGACTCGGTAATTAACTAATTAAACGCTTGAAGAGCTTAGCACAACGACTTGAAACCAGGTTCATAATCGAGTGTGCTAATAAAATATCATGTATCGATAGGTGACTACAATGAATTACTAACAAATGACATTTAACTTGTACAAGAAAAAAAATTGACGTTGGTGTAACCCTTGAAGAGGAACTATCCAATAATGATGTACTTGCTTAATTTCAAAATTAATAACATTCTAATTGACTAATTCTTTATCTCCCTTCCCAGGGTTGTTATATCAGGTTAGCTTAGATTACAGGTTGACATTGCATTCGTATACAAATTACACTAAACTGTCAGTCGCAATCGTGAAATTAACACTTGAAATTCAAACTTGAAATCCAAAACTTGAACCCTAAAAAGAATTAACATGTAACACCTCTTTGAACATAACAATTAGCATACTTCTAATTAAAGAAAATAATATTTCAGCAACGAGTGAATTAAATCGGGTCAAAACTTATATAAAGCGAAGAGAATTCTAAAAAAATTACGAGATAATGAACAATTCAGCAAATGGCGGCCACTTACGTATTGAATGAATCCAATTTCATTGCCTCCAAAAATATAAGCAAATGTAGAAAATCGGTCAAACACCAATTCGAGAATTCCACAAAATATAGGTTAAACACCACAATTATATTTTAAAATTTACGTGGACTTCAATAATATACTCCACTTACGTTTTGCCGTACCAACGTGTTCGTAAAGAAAAATGAAAGCGGAAAAAGGTACTAACGAGCACATTCCAAACTCGGCTCAAGAACTATAGAATTTAGAAAAGTACAGCGGTCCGCGAACAAAAATGAAATGCAATATTTATTTATTTATTTCTTTATTTATTTTGGAGAACTCAAAAAGAGGTAATTGAGAAACTATTGCAATTTAAAGAATTGTAGATCTATGAACTCACCTGAAAGGATTTTTTGTTTTTTAAAAAAATGCAGGGCTAACTGCGTAACTAGCAAAACGGATTTTTCCTGTTGTTTCTGTTCACGAAAACGGAATTCTAAAATTGGCCTTCGTTCACGAATTATCGCGGTGAAAAGCTGGATTTCATCAAGGGATCTTCTTCAAATATGACCATTTAGCTTCGCATAATACACTAGATACTATGTAAAAATTTACTTTTTAGCTCGTCTCCATCAGCATCCTAACTGTACTCCTTTTTATCCAATCTTGAACTTTATCCTGACTAAAGCGAGCTTTCGAAACCTGTTATTTAAATCCTTTCGAACAATTATCAATGTCCTTGAAATCCTATTGAACAATTATCAATATATCCTTGGATTATTACTACTGAAAAGGTTCTATTTTTCATAAGTACAGAGTGTCCTATTAATAATGGTCACAGCTCATTTGTATGGCACAGTTTAGGCAAAACGATTGTGTAAACAAAAGGAGCCAATAGAAAAGGCTGGAAATCATTTTCAATTTTCTAGATTAGCCGCTAGAGGGCGTACGATTCATGGTTAACTAGAGACAGGAGACTAGAGGCAGTCATTGGGACGCTGAGTTTAGGACGCAGACATTGGAACGCGGACATTAGGATCAGAATATCCCAATGTCTACGTCCTAATGTCTGCGTCCGAATGTCTGCGTTCTAATTTCTTGCGTCCCAATACCTTAGCGCCATAACTACCAATCCGGCTTTTCAATAAGAAATTCTCATGAGTGTTACAAATGAGTTGTGCCAAAATAAAACCAGTTAATAAAGAGGACCAAAACAGACCTGTTTTTCAAATAAGCCAAGGAGCGCAATTAAATGTTTCGTTTGGAAACTACGCTTAAAAATCTCTCTAAAACTTTATTCCTTTTTATTTTTTTCCTAATAAAAAGAGTCAATAAGGATGGACGTTATATTAAATTATGCCATTTCCGCTTTGTCAAAATTTTTAGAAAATTCGTGGCTCCCGATAGTGAACCTCTAAACGGGGGCGAGAAAAATATTTTTACAAAATCAGAAAGAGCACACCTAATGTCCTGTCCAAAGACGTGACATACTTATTAATTTTTTATTTTGCCTTTATTTTTGAGTGAGCGGGGTTTCATCCAAGGCTGTTCTACCAACCCAACCCACTATACATTTACAAATGATGCGTCTTATGGTTCTCGAGACAAAAATTTGAAGAATAGCAATTTTAACGAAAAATGACTCCAATGTAGCACCCTGTATAGCCTTGTGTAATGGGAATATTCGTCACGTAATTGCTTTAAAAATTTAAAATCCAAGATTTGCTTGTGTTTAATAACGGGGTTGGTTTTCTGGAAATAACGGTGCAGGGAAAGATACGATTGAAAACTGACAAAAAGGTAATACAAATTGGATAATATCACAA